AAATTTAAAGTTAAAAAATAACAACCACTTTAAGATGGATGAAATAATAAAAGCTTAACAGGGCCACCCTACTTCAGCTTTACTTAAACTGAAGAAAAAGGGCACCCCATTACCCTTGATGGGAAGCAATTGATCATTAAGAAATCATCAGAATTCGAACTTTGAATAATAAAAATTAATATGAAAAAGATTTATATATTATTATATAAGCCAATAATCAAGCCAGTAATCAAGTCAAGAAATTAAAGATAAAAATCAAAGATATAGTTAATTAGCACTAATTATGCATATTGTATCCACAATAACTGTGCAGATTGTATTTCCTTTTCTGGTAGCATGATACTAGGCAACCATCGTGTATATAGAGATTGTACTTTAATGTAATGTGATGATTGAGTTCTGATTCAAATCTTTTCTTTACTGCTCTTTTCATGGTATCAGAGCAAGGGAGAATAGCTAGACGATAAGTGTTTTACCCAAACTTTGACAACAAGATCTTGTTGCAACCATCAACTTAGATATGGCAGGGAACGAGTCAAAGAACCCCAAAGTTCCAAAGACTACATATCCCGATTCACCACACTATCTGCACCCAAGTGATGATCCTGAGAGGGTATGGGTAGTGAACTCCTTGACAAGAGAAAATTATCATACATGGAAGAGAGCATTGCAGAATGCTCTCTACGCCAAAAATAAGATGGGCTTTGTAAATGGAACACCATCAAGAAGCCATCTGCAGATTCCACTGAGTTCCTTGCTTGGACTAGGTGTAATTCCATGGTTCTTTCATGGATACAAAACACTATTTCTAAGGACTTGCTGGACAGTGTTGAATACACCGATAGTGTGAGCGAGGTATGGAGTGACTTGCAAGAGCGATTCTCACAAGGAAACACATCCAGGGTGAATGAGTTGAAGCTTGAATTTGCTATAATCACCCAACGGACAAGAATAGTTGCAGCGTACTTAACTAAGCTTAAGCCAATTTGGGATGAATTGCAAGCCTATGAACCTGTACCTATCTGTACTTGTGGCTGCACTTGTGGAGCTACCAAGGAGTATGTAAAGACTCGAGAGACAGAGAAGGTTCATCAATTTTTGATTGGATTGAATGAGAACTTCTCAACCATGCTTTCTCAAATCCTAAATATGGAACTGTTGCCCACCTTAAATATGGTATATGTAATGGCAACTAAGGAGGAAAAACAGGAAGCTGTTGCTCCATCTAGAGGACCGATTGTTGAGGCCACTACCCTAGTAGTGAGAACAGGTTCTAATGGAAGGCAAAATTCCATTAGAAGGACTCGATGTGATCATTGTAAAAAGTTGGGCCATTCAAAGGAGAGATGTTTTGAAATTATTGAATATCCCCCTAACTGGAAATCTGGTGGTATTAGGCCTAAAGGTAAAGTTGATGGACAGAAAAGCAGTAAAGAACTCATTTTTGCAACCAATGTAAACCTTGATTCGTCCAACATAGAGGGCTCCTCATATCAATCTCCTATTGCCAGACTAAACAAGGAGCAGTATGATTAGCTCCTCATGCTTCTCGATGGTAATACCAACACTAATTGTTTTCCCAAAAATCCTTAGCCGACCTTTACCACGTGAGTTGGGTTATTAGGCGTGCCACTTACTTTGTTTAAAAATAAGAAAACTAGATTTCCAGATGACCCTTCTCCTTTCCAGCGGTCGACCTCCAATAGAATGACTAGAAAGAACATCTGTAAAATGAATTGCACCTCAGACGATGTTGCAAAACAGAGGGTAGAGTTCTGTAAAATGAGTTACTAATTGTCTTGGAAACCTCCAAGGACTTCACAACCAAACAAGTGTAATAAAAGCTACAAATCCTAAAATAAATGCAATATCCTAAAGCAATTAAACTAATATGAAGTAAAGAACAGAAAATAACATGCCATAAAGATTAAATTCGCAGACAACAGAAAAAGTAAAATAACAAACAATGATTTCAACTACGCAGCCCATAATGATTAACTAAAACTGAAGTAGAAACTATGAAATGATTAAAGTCTGGAAACTTATAAATTTAAATCTGGAAATTGAAATAAAACAAACTGCATGTCTGGATATTGTGTAGAGACAAAAGAACAAAGGTAGAGAATGTTCAACCTATTTACATGAATGAATAACACAACTAAATTCATAAAAGGAAGAAGAACTAACCGAATCAAAAGGGCAGACCTGTTTTGAAGGCTAAGTTGCTTCCAAATGCTTAAAAATTAATCTAAACTGGAATTTGCGGGAGAAAGTATGAACAAAGATGAACAAACCTAGGCTAAGGCTATGAACTAATCTAGAAAATCTGGAAAATCTGGAAACTATTGCTGAAATTTGAAAAATGCAGTCTGAAAGCTGAAAAACATGCTCTGGGCAATCTGTGTGTGTGTTGGGCAGACCCGAACTGATTTCTTCTCTTTGTATTTATTTTCTTCAGTGCTGGTAACTTCCTCCATGATCTTCGATACTATTCCTCCATGATCTTCGGTACTGTTCCTCCATGATCTGGTACTAGGGTTGCAGGTCTGGCAATTATTTAATAGTTATCCAATTTTTATTTAACCTTATCTCCAACAACCTTAAAGATAACTACCTAAAAATCCTCAATTTCCCATTTTAAATCAAACTCAAACTATCATATCTAATTTTATCTTCTGCCACCTAAGATCCAACCTCCTTGGAAATTCGTCTGGGCTGTTAAATTGTAAGCCAACCCAGCCCAAATCCAGCCTATTGATTTTCTTGATAATTAGGTTTTACCTTGACACATGACCTTACCCTATTGGTTTATTTTAGGTGTAAACACTAATCATTCGGCCAACCTTGCTGGTAAGATGCATATTACCCCCTTCTCTTGGATTATTGACAGTGGTGCCTCATACCATATGACACTAAACTTGTTGAGGCCATACCTTACTCATCACCTGTTCATATACCTAATGGGTCCTCTTTGAAGGCATCTCATATCGGAAAAGTAAACCTTACCCCTAACCTCAAATTGGAAAATGTTCTTTGCATACCACAATTTAATTGTAACCTTTTATCAGTTAGCAAAGTCACTAAACAACTCAATTGTGTAATAATACTATTTCTTGACTTTTGTGTCTTTCAAGACCTTACCTCAAGGAAGCTGATTGGAATGGGTAAACTTCTTGATGGGATCTACTATTGCAACTTTGGGCATTTTGCAGCAATTAGTCAAATAAAGCAAGGCAATGACATGTCTTTCGAATTGTGGCATAAGAGGCTAGGTCATATCTCACTAGATAGATTATCCAAAATTCCTTCATTATGCTCTTGTCCACCTAACATTAGGCATGTTTGTGATATTTGCCATAGAGCTAAACAAACAAGACTTCCTTTTCCTATTAGTAATAATAAAGCTACTCGTTGTTTTGCCTTAAAACATTGTGCTATTTGGGGTAGATATGCTACGCCTTCTTACACTGGTGCACATTATTTTCTAACCATTGTTGATGATTTTTCACACTGCACATGGGTATACCTGTTAAAGCATAAGTCTGAAGTTGTCTTATATCTAATAAATTTTTGTAACATGGTGGAAACTCAATTTGAAACTCGTGTTCAATAGATTCGCAGTGATAATGGGAAGGAATTTACAAACAGGTTGGTGAAAGAATTTTATCTTAAACAAGGTATTTTACAACAAACATCTTGTGTGAACACTCCTCAACAAAATGGTGTTGTTGAGCGTAAGCATTGCCATTTACTTGAGGTAGCACGAGCATTACGTTTTCAAGCTAAACTACCTTTAAATTTTTGGGGAGAATGCATACTTACAATTGCATATTTGATTAATTTGTCACCCATTCCTATACTTTCTGGTCTCACACCATTTGAAAAGCTTTTCAACAAACCACCATGTTATGAGAATTTAAAGGTTTTTGGATGTCTATGTTATGCCCATAATCATTCTCCAAGTCATTCAAATTTGACACAAGGGCCTCAAAATGCATTTTTGTTGGTTATCCCTTTGGAAAATGTGGGTATAGAGTCTACGATCTTGAAACTAAACAGATTTTTACTTCTAGAGATGTCTTT